CGTTATTTCCAGAAATGTATCATATTTACTGAATTTTTATTGAAAATTTATGGAAATAACAAGGACTTACTCGCAAATTCAGAAAAATTCCAGAAATGTATCAAATTAACGGAGTTTTTATTTATAAAATGGAACTATACCTGACTTTTTTTTTATAGGGATAAACCTTTTCTACAAGTATTCTTTCAAAAATCTGTGGTGTAATATGCAACTTTCCTAGATATTTTCTATCTTTTCCGTGCCTATTCCAAATGTAATTTAAAATGTTAGAAATTGCTTTGAAAAGTTGCATAGTAACTAAAGGTTTTTGAAAGAATACTTGTAGAAAAGATTTATTTTATTGTTCTACCTGTGTAAATTCCTCCGCTTTACTCCGGAAATTAAATATAAAAACTATCTGATTTTACTTAACGTTAACTAAAATCTTAATTTTTTATTTTTAAAAACGAATAAAATACAATAATAAATTATATATATTATAGCTATTGCTCATATAAAACAAAACATACACATCTACATTAATTTGTGTATGGCCTCGAGAGAAGCACCTTTTATCTAGTTCTAAATAATACAGTATATGCATTTATTTATAACTGGTAATAATATTACTAGTGAGTTTTATAATACATTATAATGAGATATTTATATTGAAATATAACAGAATATAAAATATGATTTTTTTTTTCCCTTTTTTTTTTTTTTTGTCCAAAATAAAATTACAACCACCAGGGTTTTTTTGAAAAGAATTATTTGCTATCGTTATTATATCTAAATATTAATGGAAATGAGGTATATAAATGCAATAATAAAATAATGAAACAGTTTTACATATGTATGAAAAAAAAAGCTAATAGGATTAAATGCTCATATAATTAATACCGACTCCTATGATATTGGTCCAATGTACTTGTAAAAGGATTTCCATCCCTTAGCACTACTTCACCACCTTCGTCATAATAATATGATTCACGATGTCTTCGGTAAAAATAGTAAGCCGAAAACATACCACATACAAGAACGATACAACCAACGAGGGAAATGCCTATCACTAGACCTGATGGACCTCCATCACTGGAAGAATTACTATTAGAATTATCAACTGGAACCTTCGGATTGTTGGTAGCTTGAATTGGAGGATAAACAGTAGATATACTCGTTATTGTAATAACCGGACGTGTTAGCGGTGAATGTGGTGGTATTTTTGGTAATAATGTTGTTGTATCAGCATTTACATTATTAACAATATTATTTTTAATGGGAACATTAGTAATTTGATTAGAAGAAAGACTAGTGATAGTAACTGTGTCCTTGGTTTTTGATGGTAATTTTTGAGCAAATGCAGGCAAAGTTGCATAATGTAAAACGAAGAACAAGGTTAATGAGAAAAATGAGATAAGTATTGACGACCTCATGAAGGTACTTATGGATAAAAGAGTTAATTTAATTAAGGAAAAATAGGTATTTTGACAAGTTAACTATTTGAATAGGCTTTCTGATTTCCAAACAAGTGCTTATGGGATGAACTAAAGAAAAGCCACCGGGTCGACTGAATGTAAAAATAAGGATGTTAAAGGGGTTAAATGTTTCAGAACTACATTGCGAACACGACACCAAGACATATATTCTTAAGACATATATTCTTAATTTGACAGAGCAGAGAAGTTGTTGACATACCTTTAATTTGAATGCAAACGAATGAATTAAGTGATCATAACCATCGTCCAAGGTACTATATTTTTAAAAGAGAAAGAGACTAAGAATCAATTCATAGTTTGTAGAAATTTAACGAATTTAAATTTGATTGCAGTATTTACCAAATCAAGGTAAGAAAATGCATCTGATCGATGAATTTACACAAATTACGATTTTCTAAAACAGTAACATGTAGTTCCACACAAAAGTTCAATCTCCACTAGATAAAAGACGATAAGCGCGAGTGACTGTCTACGTCTAACTGTTTACACCTACAGAATATTATTAATGAACACAAAATTTATCATGTAAACAATATTCGCTTTATACCTTTATGCTATGTACCACTTCTGTGTTCAACACTGTTCGATGAGCTTATTCATGCATTAATTTAGATATGTTTATAAATCAATGTTATTGCATACAGTAGCACATACAATTTTTTACGTAAAGTCACTTTTAAGTATGTAGGGTATAGCTCGAACCAGTGATTGGACTAATCGGGGTTAAAAAAGGAGGTTGTTTAATTAACACGCACTGTGACCATTTAAAAAATTAATTTTATATGTTTTTTATACGATATGATACGTGACAATTAAACTACCTCCTTTTCTAACCCCGGTTAGTCCCATCACTAGCTATCTGAACCAAACAATGTACAATTAGTATCTCATTAACGTTAAGTATTTACTTATTTTCGAATACTAATTGCCACATAACTGCAGAAGTAATGAACACATGTTTCATTGGGGTGCGCGGTATACAATTAGCTATGTAAATTAAAACTATATAAAAAGATTTTCGTGTAACCTAGTTTCATAATGAATTAAATGTACAGCCCTTAAAACTGGTTAGAACAATGTTACGAAGCCAATTTATATTTTCATCAAAACAAAAATATTTTTTACTTAAAAAATTTTTAGGTGAACGAAGCAACGATTCGCACATAAAAGAGACTGGTAACTTCATAAATATCGTAAGAATGAACCAAATGATAATTAAAACTTTTTGGTAAAAGAAAAAATATAACTCGTGCATCTAAAAAAGTGTGACGAAGTTTTATATATATAAATCATAGTTAACCATATAAGTTATATTTAATAATCGATCACTAGAAAAAATCATAAAAATGTGACCACATATAGTTTTGATTTACATAGTATACAACGCACCCCAATGTTTCATTGTGTGCGTGTACGTACGTACGTATGTATGTGCAGTTTCAATTCCTTATTGTCTAATTATATCTATTGTCATCGGAGTCGGCGACTTAGCCTGGACTTTCTCGAGTCGACTTTGAGAACAGAAACACGATAGAATTTATTTGACTCAAATTTTTGGCCAATTTTTTTGATGCATATGATCTAGCCAATAAAAATAACATATGTGGCTTCCCACAAAAAACGTCAAGTTACGAATAGTAACTTCGGGACAGACTGTATCTTTATCACGTGATTAACGATTACCTAATTTTTTAAGGTTACATAAAAAATCGGGGATATAGTTTTGATACGTAGTATATCGCACACCAGATTGACAGGATCATTTGACAACTTCCGATCTGGATTAGATAAAATTTAATTATAAGGGTAAAAGTTATAAAAGCAAAAATGGTAGTAAAATTGCATGAAGAAACTTTTAATTAGAACATGAAAGGTAGTTAATTAAACAAAATTTTGAGATAAGTATCTGATGTGTAAGATTTTTCAAAAGAATTTTTTTTTTGTTTTCAGTTTTGAATTTTTGATATTACATTTGGGATCTTTGTTAGAAAAATGTCCTTCCGGGACTATGTAAATTTATGAATAAACTTTAAATTTGCCAGTGATCCAGTAATCCAATTTGTATAAACTTGAGTTCACTATGCTCTATGAAATAAAAAAAAGTTTATTCAAATTGATTATTTGATCGCTGGTTAAATCTAGTTTATTCATAAATTCAATAGCCCCGAAGGGTCATTTTTCCTAGCAAAGATCCCACCTAATCTAAATTGTTTATTGACTAATTTATGGTCGGAAGTTGCATGACCGGAAAATCGATCCTACGCCCTTGGTGTTTGTTAGAAATCTTTAGAATCTTAGATCTTAGAAATAGAGATAGTACCCTATAGGATAGCTTTCTCGTGATTGGCCAATCACATGAAATTAAATCAACTATTATGATTGGTCACATTATTATGATTAAAAAAATTTTTTTAATTTTAAAAGATTTTTTATTGTATTTCTTTTTAGTTTTTGTAGTAAATTATTAAGTTCTACATTATTAATACTATTAACAACAATAGGTTCATTATTTTTGCCAACTTGTTTAGTGCTACTACTTTTTTGAATCTGTATTTTTTCATGTTTTTTATCTTTTTTTCTATTTGTATTAGTTAAGCGTTCTAGCAATTGATCTATATTAATTTGTATTCCATTTTTCAAGAATTCTAAACAAGGCAGACATTTTTGATCCAGTTGGTTTAAACATTCTATATGATATTTATAACTGCAGAATAGTATTTTCAGGTTAAAAGATAATAGATTAGTATATATATGTATATTAGCTTTAGTATAGAATGAATAATCATACAAAATCATTTGATTAGGTTTTTGTAAAGTGCTAAAACCCAAGAGAAGATAACAAGTATCCACAACAATTCTGATAGCTGCTATTAATATATTAAAATCATTTACTATTTTCTTTTTTTCCTTTTATCAATATTTCTAATTTATTTGAGTTTAAACTCATTATCTATTTGTAGCAATTCAATTATAAATATTAATAAAATGTTTTAATAAAAAATATGCTGCTTTTGTATATAATTACTCAAGTCTCTGTGATTCAAAAGATATCTTTTTTATGTTAATTGATGTTCAATTAATTTATTAAGACATTTTTCATATTTTAAATAATAAATAAAATATGCTTAACATTATAATTGTTCTGTAGTATCTTGCTTCTGAGTGGTCTATCTCAAAATACTATGAAATAGTTCAACAGGAGCATCAGAAAATTTGACAAATGTGTTTTTAAAATTTCTAAAATAAAATAGTTAATATTTCTCTAATATAAAATATCAGATAAAAATATCAGTAGTATTTTATTGTAATTGTGATAATTAAAATAGTCTAAATCTGTATTACTGATTCTTTATACTTCTATTATTCATTTGTATGAAAGAAGATTACATATATATTAAGAACAAGTAGAACTAAATTGTCTATTAAATCTATTAATGCTAAATATTCGAGATCCTCACAAAGACCAAATTTTGTTTTGATAGTATTTGAAACTTGAAACCAATCATAACAAATTACTTCAAGTAACAAGTTAATCTACTAAGTTTGAATATTAATTCCAACTTCTTTTGTTTGATCAAATAGATTTTTTTTGTTTTTTAATTCAGCAGTTATACCATAACTTTATTTAGATTTGTTTTTCATTTAAAAACAACATTATTTAATAGTGTACTATCTAATAACTAATTTTTTAAGCTATGACTCACCTAGTTATCTTATGGATACCTATGTGCGATTTGCTATAGTGACTTTTGTCCTATGTTGAAACAATTTATAATATAAATTGTAAGTCAAGATAGGAAGGATGCCACAGCTCATCATGACTAATTTTAACTCCAACTATCTATTATTCCCTCCTTTACTTCTCTAACTATACTATTTAATGCTATTTTAAGACTAAAATTACAGACTTCGATATTCTCATCTACTCTGTTATTTGTTTTTTCCCTAGCAGATACTTTTTTCAGATCATTCTTTTTTTTTTTTTTTGATCAAATAGATAATTGTATAATAAAGAAAATAATAGATAATATTGTATATAGATAAGCTTGTGACTATTTAAAAAAATATATAATGAGCCTATAATTAGAATAAAAGATAAAATACTTTGAAATATATTAGAATTGTGACTATATTTTAATTTGACTAGACTAATTTGCAATAAGAAAAATAATATAACTAGAATTAAAGTATTTTTGTATTATATTTAGTTTTTAAGTAATTTCAAAACTTTTCAAATAAGGTCTAGTAATCTTAGTATAGTAGTTAAGTTGTTGGACTACTATACAAAAGTTCTAGAGTTTAAATCCTACTATCAACAGAATTGAATAATTACTTAGACTTTTGTATTTAACTTATAGTAAACTCTGTCTGTTTCTAGAAGTTGTAACCCTATAAATCATATTACACTAATATTATTTAGATATTAAAAATATGATAAAGTGCAAGGTCTGGTGATCTTAGTATAGTGGTTAGGTTGCCAGACCACCATGCAAGAGGTCTGGGGTTCAAATCCCACTGTTGACGAATTTGAATAATTACTCGGACCTTTGTACCCAACTTATAGTAAACTCTGCTCGTTTCTGGAGGTTACAACTCTGTAAATCATGTTGCACTAATGTTAATTGGATATTGGAAGTATGACGCAATGCTTAAGTTACGTTATATGAATAAATCTTGATAGGATCTATGGACAGAGGATCTGCATAGTAGAAATTCCGAGTTTGGTGAAGTAGTATAGATTTTGATAGTTAAGCCAGTTAACACCTTATCTAGTAAAAAACCTGAGTATGAAGAATATGAGATTGATAGGTGTGAGTAAGTCTACTGTATAACGTAGTCTGGTGTCTTACATTAGTAGCAACATCAACTTGGCTTAGTAGCTAGCTAGATTAGGAGGATCTACCTTGTGAAACATCTGACTGGAACTTAGAGGACTATATCTGGTGGATAGCTACAGTAGGAACTGGATTTGTATAAACATCGACAAGGGTCTAATCTAGGTGAATTTGTGAAATAGGCATATGACCACTCTGGTAGGAAATACTTCTGAGGTTAACTGGAGCTCTGCAGCTCATAATATATTAGGCATACACATCCCAAGAGGACCTAAGCTGTGCAGAGAAATAGATCTATGAGTGAACTAGCTAGCGTAAGCAGTTGGTCATAGCAGTGATGTTAGTTTGAGATAGGGGGAAGGGTTAATAATCAGAGTGTTTAAATAAGTAACTCACAGGTAGCTTGCAAGTATAGTAGCATAGTGTAGAACAAACAGATAGTTGATCGTCTGTATGGCAGACTACTTAAATTAGACAATGACTAAAGTTGTAGTGTGGCTTGTTATATACTTATCATGTAACTGTAAAACCTTAGGAAACTATTCATGTAATAGTTCTGCAATAACAAACTAATAAAAATCTAATCAGCCAAGGAAGTGGCCTTAATAACAATATGATAAAGTGCCTGAGAAACATAATATTATATGAATAAATCTTGATAGAATCAATAAACAGAGGACTTGTATAGCAGAAATCCTAAGTTAGGTGAAGTAGTATGAATTTTGATAGTTATATTAGTTAATATTTAATCTAGATAAAGAAATCTATATACAAAAAGATTAGTGAGCAAGTGCGAGTAAGTTCTGTATACAAAAATATTAGCAAGCAAGTGCAAGTAAGTCCTGCATATGAAAAAATTGACAAGCAGATATGAGTAAGTCTGTTATACAAGATTATACAGCAACATTAACTTGGCTTAGTAGCTAACTGAATTTAAAAAGATCTGTTTTATGTGATATTTGAAGGTACAGACAACACTAACTTTCAGATTTAGGAGAATTTGTTTTATATAATATCTGGAGGTATAGACAATACCAACTTTCAGATTTGAGAGGATCTGTCTCATGTGATATCTGGAAGTACAGATAACTAATCTAGTAGAAAGCTACAGTAGGAACCAGATTTGTATGAATATCAAACAAGAGTATATATAAGCTAAATTGAGATATAGCATAGCATAGTTGAGTACTATAGCATCTTATTGATTAGAGAGTTAGTGAAGAGGTACTTTGTGATAGAGCCTAGACTCCAAATTATAAAGTTTGTAGACTAATGTCAGCTCAAGTATTTTCTAAAAAGAGAAGTAGTACAGGGTTAGATGAACCTTAATAAAATAAGGATAGAATACGAGTAAGTATTATAGAGTCAAAGATTTTAAATAGGTAATTTTTAAATAGATTTCAGATATAGCAGCTAGTGTAAAACCTTCGAGTGAAGTACTTAAATTAGACAATCTAAAGTTGTATATATAGCTAGTTGTACTTATATAATATGTATTATTTACTCACTATCAATACTAATAAAAGTTTCAGCTAATGATATTTGTATAAAGTAAAAAAAAAAAAGACTTTCTAAATACTTGCTAATTGAATGTAAAGTATTTTTTACAAGATTGACAAGTATAATATCATTTAATGATCAATTGTTGATTTTCTCTTTAAGCCAAAGATCATAACTATGCACTGTCAATACTTCTATAGTTTCTTCTTTATTATTACTTATATTATTTTTCTACAACTCATTAAAAGATACTTCTAATAATATCATATATTGATTTTTTAATTCTGTTTTTATGAGATTCATATCTATAAGTTGTAGATTGTAAATGCTTCTATAATCATAATTCATAAGAATTAGCAACATGTTTCTTATTAGATTTAAGAGAATTATTACTATATTTGTTGCTGTTGATATTTTATCATCTTTTAGAACCCTATTGATATATATATTATAGTAATTATCTACATTTAAAATTATTATACTTTTACTAAAAGTATTTAAATTATTGTCGATTAAAGCTAGATAGTCTTTCGAAATTTTATTTTTTTTGCACTAAACAGTTTGTGTTATTGATATAATACCAAGTTCTACTAATAAATTAATTAATGAATCTATTGTATCTGTAGAATCAAGATAGAATACTAAATTGTATATAAAATTTATAATAAATTTATTATATAAACTACAAAGCAAGTAGCAAACAAAAAGTAATTAGAACATTATCTTAAAATATAACTCAGACTTTTTTTTTAATAAATTAGTTGATGATACAAGTTTATCAAAAAAAGTCATCAAATATATATTCTCTGCTTTCATATAAGCATAAAATTCTCCAAATTTCTAAAATGCAAATAATTTTTGCATTACTTCATATTTGTATAAAACTTCAGTCATAATTTTTATTGCTTTTGAAAAAGATATCTTTTCAGATTTCAATAAAGTGTTAGCATTAGGTTGAATGTTATAAGTTGCCTTAGCATGTTCTTTTATTACATCTAAAAAATGAACAATTATTCTATTATAGTATCATTAACAAATCTTTTCACTGACTTTTAAATATACTAGTAAAGTTTTATTATCTTATGCATTTTTTCAGATTCAGTTTGTTACCTTTCTTATATATTGTTCCAGAGCTTTAACATATATACTAATTATATATTGCTAACTTTTTATTGCTAAAAGTTGCTTCTAAGTAAAGTATGTTTTGTTATATAGATTTTTTTGAATTCTTTTATAAGGAGCTTTTTGTAAGTATTCTAAACAGTTTTAGAACATTTTTTAATAAATGTATATTAATAAAATTTTATAAATTGAAAAAGTATTTTAAGAGTATTCTTAAACAACTTCTTCAATATAATTTAGATTGTGCACAAGTATTATAAATAATTCTTATAGCAATTTTATGAATAATTCATAGTACAAAATATGATATGAAAAGTATTTTCAAGTAACTCCCTTAATGTGATTTAAAAATAATCATGATATTGCTCAATTATTACTATTAATTAAAATAATTATTACTATTAAATCATAATAATAGGCTGAAAATTTATTATATGAATTGCAGATTTTAAATTTTAACTAAGGTTTGGTAATCTTAGTGTAGTAGTTAGATTGCTAGACCACCATACAAGAGGTTTAGAATTCAAAATCTACTGTTAACAGAATTGAATAATTACTTAGATATCTGTATCCAACTTACAGTAAACCCTGTTCATTTCTAGGGGTTGTAACCCTGTAAATCACATTGTACTAATATTATTCGGATATTAGAAGTGTGATGAAGCATCTGAGGAATATAATGTTACATGAATAAATCTTAATAGAATCTATGAACAGAGAATCTGCATAGCAGAAATTCAGAGTTAGGTGAAGTAGTATGAATTTCGATAGTCATACCAGTTAATGTTTAATCTGGAGAGAAAAATCTGCATACGAAAAGATTAACAACTAGGATACGAGTAAGTCTATTAGGAAACTTGAATATGAAAAGATCAGCAAAATGAGTACGTATAAGTCTGTTACATAAGGTTATATAGTAATACTAACCTGGCTTGGCAGCTAACTAGATTTGGAAGGATCTGTTCTGTATGATATCTGGAGGCATAGATGACTTTTGGCAACACCAATTTGGATGATAACCAGATTTGGAAGAGCCTATTTCATGTGATATCTGAAGGCACAGATGACTAACTTAGTAGAAAGCCATAGTAGGGAACTATGTTTGTACGAACATCGAACAAGGGTATATACAAGCTAAATTAGGATATAGTATATCATAGTTAGATATTACAGCACCTTATCGATTTAAGAGTTGATAAGGATATACTTTGTGATAGGGTCTAGGTTCTAAATCATAAAGTTTGTGGACTAATGTTAGCTTAGATGTCTTCTAAAAAGAGAAGTAGCATAAGTTAGGCAAACTTTGGTAAAATAAGGATAGAATATGAGTAAGTGTCATAAGGCCAGAGGGTTTAAATAAGTAATCTTCAAATAGATTGCAGGTATAATAGCTAGTGTAAAACCTTCAAGTGGACTACTTAAATTAGACAATCTATAGTTGTACATATGGCTAGTTTTACTCTCACAATATGTATCATTTACTCACTATCAATACCAATAAAAGTTTAGCTGATGGTATTTGTATAAAGTAAAAAAAAAAAACACTCTGATCATTAACGCTTCTCTCTATTTAAACTAATGTTACTATTATATCTAACTACTTAAGTCAGCTAACTTACTTGTAGATCTATTTACTACACAATTTAGGTCTTCTCAAGATGCATATTGTCTAATATATTGTGAGCACACAGAGCTCTAGTTAACCTCAGAAGTAATTTTTACTAGTGTAGTTATATGCCTATTTCACTAATTCACTTGAATTAAACTCTTGTTGATGTTTGTACAAATCCAGTTCCTGCCATAGCTCTCTACCAGATATAGTTCTTTAAGATTTCAGATATTTCATGAAGTAGATCCTCCTAATCTAGTTAGCTACCAAGCCAAATTAGTATTGCTACTAATACAAGGCACTAGGCTATATTATATAGCAGACTTATTTATACCTATCGATCTTATATCTTCTGTATTCAGATTTTTCACTAGATCAAATATTAACTGGCTTGACTGTTGAAATCTGTACTATTTTACTAAACTTGGGATTTCTACTATACAGATTCTCTGTTTATAGATCCTATTAAGATTTATTTGTACAATATAACTCGAACATTATATTATACTTCTAATATCTGATTGATATTAGTACAATATGATTTACAGGATTGTAATCCTCAGAAATGAACAGAGTTTACTGTAAGTTAGGTTAAAGGTTTGCATAATTATTCAAATTTGTTGACAGTAGAATTAAACTCCAGACTTCTTGTATTTAGTCTGACAATCTAACCACTACACTAAGATTGCCAGACCTTTTTTGATATGATGATTTTTGTATTTCTCTAGAACTATATTTCTCTATATAAATCATTTTAAAATATTATAGTAATATTTTAGAGGCATTTTGTGAGTTAGAGAAGCATTTCACTCTAAGATATACCTTAATAAAAGTTGTAAAATAGATTCTTATGAGTAGAATAGTTCATATTTTATCTCTGTAGCATTGATATTCATAGAGTATTGAGAGAATATAATAAGCAATTATAAATCAATCTTATCTTTCTTTTCTTTTCTAGAGAGATTTGAGGTAGTTCTGCAAGAGAATTTTGATATATTTCTATTAAAAAATACCAAATATTACAGAAAGTATAGTTTAAGCCTTCTTATACATTAACTATAACAGGAACACAACTATTTAAAGACTTTAAGAAGCAGTATCAAAGAGGAAGGTATAATTCTTGTATTATTAAAGAATCATACTTATCTCTAAAGAGGCAATTCATTTAT